GCAAACTTAACATTAAATGACGCAATTGCTTGATCACAGCAGGTCATACAGATTTCATATTTATATAAGAAAATGAGGTAGAAAATTAAGAAATTAGATGATTATTTTAGGACCATTTAGAGTTGAAGAGAGGGTTTAGTCCAATCTTTATTTCAGAAATGAAGTCCAGAGACCTAGGAGAACTGAAATGCTCTAAGAGTGTACAATGAGATAGTGGGAAAATTGTTTGTTGAAGCCCCTTTTGCTTGGTATGGTGACATACACCTTTAATTGTAGCACGCTGGGAGGCTGAGGTAGGAGGATCACAAATTTGAGCCTAGTCTGGGTACCTTAGTGACTTAGCCAGACCTTGACTCAAAATATAACAACAACAACAAAAAAAAAGGGCTGAGAAGGTAGCTCAGGCTCAAAGCCATGGTTTCGATTCCCAGACACAACAAACAACCCTACTTTCTGACAAGAATGAAGTCACGAACTGAAAAACCCAGGGCGATGGAATGATTACTTATAGGCCAGGGAGGCTTTCTTTGATCCATAGAAGAGCTGATGGCTGGCTGGTCTGATGTTAACAACTAGGGCCATGAGGACCACTGTGAAGTTTTAAACTGGAGGATCCTGGGCCTCTACCCATGGAGCCTCATTACCAGGCCAGGCCTGACTTACAGAGTTTATCTGAAAGAAGTACCTTTCCATCTTGTTAAGCATGCCAGTGTTTGGTGTTTGGTGTTATACATAGGAAAAGCTAGTAGTAGTAAATGCAGGGCTTTGCACAAATATCCTTTTATCACTAAAGCCTTCTCTGACACTATGAGGCAGATTATTGCCTTGTGCACACTTTCCAAAGCTTGCCCTTGCTTTATCTCCCCTGCACCACACAACATCTGACACAATGTGTATTTACTCCAGTTTGCCCCTGCTTATTTCTTTGATGATAACAGAAGAAATCTTGATAGAGAAGGGGGAAGGACTAAGAATAGGTCTTCGGTGCCCTCCAAAGTTTAGAAGTTAGGCAGAAAACCCAGCTAGGGAGGCTGAGGAGGGAAATGGCTAGAAGGGAAACTAAAAAAAAGTATTCTGAAAGGGGTCAGGGTTTTAGCTCAGTAATACCATGCTCGCCTTGCAAGCACAAGGTCATGAGTTCTATCCCCAGTACCCAAAACAAACATAAAAACCCCCAAAAAGTATTCTGAAAGGCACAGGAAAGGGCTTCAACAAGAAGCAGGAAGCATGGTTATGACATGGGCCTGCAATTCCAAAACCTATGTCTGTGGAAAGATTTGTATATGGTACTCACGGCTGCATTATCCCTAAGAGCGAAAGGCTAGAAACAATTGATGTTTGAATAAGCAAGATGTACCTGTCCATATAACAGGATATTTCCAGCCATAAAAAGGAATGCACTACTAATGCATCATATGGCATAGATGAGTCTTGCAAACACTGTGGTAAGAGGGTAGAAAAAAAAGGACACACATGATTCCATTTATATCAACTGTAGTAATATGCAAATCTCTAGAGACAAAAAGTAGATGAGTAGCTGCCAAAGAATGAGGGAGGAGAAGTAACTGCAAATAGATACCGGGTTTCTTTTTGGGGCGATGAACATCCTAGAATTAGAGTGAGGGTGATGAATGTTCTCAAATTAGTCATGTTCATTACAAAATGGTGTAAATATACTAAAAACTTTAGTGTTAATTTCAAAAGGATGAAAATTTCAATATATGAATTATATCTCAATAAAGCTATTATTAAAGAGAGAGAGAGAGAGAGAGAGAGAGAGAGAGAAAAAACAAAATATGAAATATATCAAAAAAGAGATAATTAAAGAGAGAGAGAGAGAGAGAGAGAGAGAGGAATGACCACGTGTCCAGTGCTGCTGACAATGTGAAGAAAATGAAAATTGAGAGCTAAGCACTGAATTTGCCAAGAAACTCTTTCATCTTGTAGTGAGGGTCTGATCAGAGTAAGTTACAGACAGAAGTGAAGAGGAAGTGAAAACAGCAAGCTTATATTATTCCTTTAAGTACAGAGTTCACCAAAAAAATGTGTACACACTTCAGCAGTTCGCCCTACTAATAAATGTCTGAAAGCTCATGGCTACCACATTGAACACCTCTTGTAACTGTACAGGGCAAAGGTAACTTGTATGAATCTCATGATGTCTCTATAAATTTAGTATTAAAATATTTATACAAGATTTTCTTTTCCTGATGTAATTTTTTTGCAAACTTCATTGTTGTGCAGAATAGCAGAGAGAAGGGGTGACTGCTAAAAGGGCCTGTGGAATCAAGAGGGAGAGGTTTTTTAAAATTAAAAATCAGATAGGAAACACAATAGCCTACTTCTATGCTAATGGAGACAATTCAGGAGAAGGGGTAAAACCCATGACTGAAAAGGAGGCGAAAGGAAGAGAGTGGCACACAGTTCTTGAGTAGGTCAGAGGGGTCGGGATCCATCCAGCACAGAGTGGAACAGCTAATCCAAGATGGGGGCAGTGCAGCTGTCCCTGCTGATCTGGACAAAGGAGAGAACACTACGGACACAGAGGCCAGGGGGAGAAACAGAAAGCAAGGTCATCATGGTCATCATCTGTGCCTGACAGGGTGAGGCAGTGGATGGAATAGTTGTATAGTTGGGGCCACTGGACCACTCTCTACTCGCCTGAACCCAAGCCCCAAGGCCAGCACCCTGCCCGTCCCCCTACAAGGCTTAGTACACAAAGGCAAGGATAAGAAAAGCAAAGATGCTTGAGCCTGCCTTGGAAAATTCCAAAATTCCAAACTCTAATGCATGTGCATCAACGACTTGCAGTAACTTTTCTTCACCAGGAGCTCAATGAAGGCTCATATGCATATGTACTGCAGCTCATACATCCAATTATAACAGAGGGAATTCTGGGAAGGGACATGTGCATACGATGCAGCTGACATGACTGAGTACCTTGTCAATCACGCTTAAAGATACCAGCGAGAGATACCCCAGAACTGGTACAGCATTTAAACCCCTTTTGCAGTCATGAGCCTGTTTACTCTGAGTGTGCATCCACCTTCGTTAACTTTGCTGCTTTCTTCCTTTCCATTTTGTACCATGTCCAATGATTTGTTTAACATGCCCAAGAGCCTAGGAACCCTCCCAAATCCCTGTCATCCCTCGGAAAAGATGGAGAGGCTTAGGGCCAAAGAGAAAGTATGGCAGAGCCACTCACAAGGGAGGAAGAACGGACAGATTGGAGAAAATAGTGGGACTGCCAAGGAACACGTCCATTTGAGGCTGACACGATGGGATACCCTCTCTTACCTATGTGGCTCTTTCTAACTGTACTCAGCTGCTAGGGTTGGCCTGGGTGCTATTTTTAGAGGTGGTGGTCTTTTATGGTAGGAGATACTAATTTCTCCATTCTAATGTTGGAATAGCTCATTTTCACGATGTCCTTACTACGGTAATCCCTGAATACATCTCTTTCATCTCTGTCTCTCCTGTCTGCAATGAATGTTCAGTATAATATTTTTCTTATAAAGACAAATGTTATTAATTCTTTGTTAGTTGTTCGTTCCTTTCCCCTGCTGCTCCAGACATATAGCTGATGGATCAGTTGGACTGATCTACTTATTTTTTTTCCTCATGAGTTTATTGGTACATTTTGGGGATACAGTACAGTTACATTCATTGTTGGGATCCTGTACCTCTACAAGACGGGTCTTGGTTCTCATCTTTTCCCCTCGTCCCTGCCCTCCCTTCGCCTCCTCTTCCCTCCCCCTCTACAAACACTTCATTTTCATTTTCTCATATTTTTTTCTTTTCCCTTATTAGCTTTCCCTACCCTTCCCACTTTCCCTACACCTTTAGCCCTGAATCATATCACAGAGATATATATGCACCTATGCTTATAGCAGCACAGTTTGTAATAGCTAAAACTTGGAAACAGCCCATTTGCCCATCTGTTGGAAACTGGATAAAGAAGATGTGGTTTTTCTATAAAATGGAGCACTACTCAGCCATAAAGAACGAGAAATCAGAGTCATTCATAGAAAAATGGATACATATTGAGGATATACTCTTAAGAGAAATAAATAAATCACACGTGTAATACCGAATAATTTATCTGGTGTGAATAAACTATAATAGTACATAAGATCCTAATGATATAATGGATTGATCTACTTATAAATTAAATGTTCTACAATGTTTTTTCTTGTAGTTTTCTTCATATTTAAATGGAATAAAATAATATGTTTAAGAAGTAAGTACATTCCCCTTTCTGAGCACTAATTATTATTATTATTTATTTATGGTACCAGGTATCAAACTGCTTGCAAGGCAGGTGCAGGAACCACTGAGCTAAATCACCAGCTTGAACACTAAATAAATAAGTTCATCAAACCACTAACCAAACATGCAACATCTTCTTTTTATGCCGGGGTTTAAACCCAGGGCCTTGAACATGTTAGGCAAGTGCTGTACCACTGAGCAACATCCCCAACTCAAAAACATCTGTTAACATCATTCCCATATTCTTAAAAATTTCTTTATTGTTTTCAGTGTAAATATGGGAAGTAAATGAAGCAGTCTAGGTTTCTAAAGACAGTTATTTATCCAGGGAAAGAGAAGGCTGTTCAGTATTCCAGCCAGTAAGACCTTTCATGCTCTTTAGCAGCGGCTAAGCTGCTTCCTTTTGGAAACTTCTAGAAGTCATTCTTTACTTTTTGTATCCATGATCATGAGTAGTAACTACTATGATTATGAGGTGATCTGTGTGCGTTTCTATGGTAAACCTGTAAGTGAAGGTGCTCTGGGGTGGGGCCTCCTTTTGGTCCATCATTAACCACGCAGACTAGAAGCTCCTTCTGCAGGCACAGCTGCCAGACAGTGAACAAATGCTACATGAAATGCAAGCTTTCTCTCAACGTGGGCTTTGCTATAAATAATGAAAGCTGATGGAATGTTTTGTACTCCTTTTGCTAAACTTGGAATCTACTGATCTAATGATTGTTTGTCTACAGAACAGACTGGAACCCACCACTGGGAAGCAAAGTCTACTCCCCAAGGGCACTGTCCAACTATCAAAGCCATGATGCATCAACAGGTATTTTATTTTATAAATGTACATTCTCAACTGATTAAATGCTAGTTCCATTATCATAAGTGTAAGTGAGCACTTTTATAATATGTTCACATACAAGGAAGAAACTAGCTTTGAATTCTCTATGTCTTTGTTACTAGCTCCGTGATGTGGGACAAATCCTTTAACTTCTCTTTGAGACTCAAATGCCTCACCTGTCAAATTAAAAATCTATACAGGTCATCATGACAATCAGTGAGATTATTCAAGTGTCATTAGTACCTGGAATAGATTTGGCACATATTAAGTCTATTAATTTTAATAATCAATAAAAATAATAAAGGTTATCGCCAAACTGTTCTGATAGTTTCATCACAAATGGCATGCTTTGAATTTGACAAGTCAACTCAGTTCACATTTATGAGATGACTACAACGTACTTGGCCTAGGCCCTGGCCTCATGAATGATGCTGGATGTGTTCTTAAGGAAGTGGCTGGTCTCTCAGGGAGACAATTATATGGACTCCTACTAAGAGGAATAATTATAATAACAGTGAACTCTGAGTTCTTCTTATATGGTGGCATACTATTAAAACCACATTTTAATCATTTTCAATTTAAAACAACTCCATGAAATAGGTAGGTACTATTATCCATTTCATAGATGGAAGAACAAAGACACAGAGAATTTAAGGCACCTGCCCAGCTAGAAACGCCAATTTCAACCACAGCGTAACACTGCCTGTAATATTTTAAAAAACACTCAATAGCAACAGATATTTACTGAATACTTAACACCAGTGAGTCACTAAGGACAGACGAGAAAATAAATGAGACATGATTTTTGTACTCTGGGGCTTGTAATTTAGGGAAAAGATAAATATTAATTACATAACTGCATGAAGATATAAATATCAGCTATGATAAATGTTAGGAAAAATTATAGGTGTTGAGTAAGAAATGCACAACAAATACAATGTGATTTGGGAACATACAGAAGATGTGTCATTAGTTGTCATAGGCAGACAGGTGAGGAGGCCAGGGATTTTGGAAAATGGGAATAGCAGAAGCAGATGTATAAAGAAACTTGAAGACTGGGTGTGGCAGGGAATAGAAGGAGGTGGCGAAAGGTGAGGCTGGTAGGCTGGGCTGGAATCTGACTGCTGAAAACAATGCATACCTTCCTGAACAACAAAGCATTTTGCAACAGCTATTCTGGCTATGATGTGGTAGAAAGACTACGATGATATTAATACAGAGTTTTAGACTCCACCAAAAAACTTCTAGACTTAATTGACAGATTCAGTAAAGTATCTGGATACAAGGTGAATACCCAAAAATCAATAGCCTTTCTATACACAAATAACAGACTCACTGAGAGAGAAATAAGGGAAAAAATTCCTTTTACAATAGCATTCAAAAAAATGAAGTATCTAGGAATGAATCTAACAAAAGAAACAAAAGATCTCTACACTGAAAACTACAGCACTCTGAAAAAAGAAATCGAAGAGGACATAAAAAAATGGAAAGATATCCCCTGCTCCTGGGTAGGAAGAATCAACATAGTGAAAATGGCCATACTACCAAAACTGCTATACATTCAATACAATGCCAATTGAAATTCCAACACTATATTTCACACAACTAGAAAAAAGAATCCAAAAATTCATTTGGAACCACAAGAGACCTAGAATAGCAAAAGCCATCCTAGGCAACAGAAAATTGGCAGCGGGTATAACAATTCCCAATTTGAAACTATACTACAAAGCCACTGTGATAAAATCAGCATGGTACTGGCAAAGAAATAGGCCTGAGGATCAATGGAACAGACTGGAAGACACAAAAACAAATGCAGATGTACTCAGCTACCTCATCTTCGACAAAGGAGCTCACCATCCTCAGTGGAGGAAAGATAGCCTCTTTAATAAATGGTGTTGGAAAAACTGGATATCAACCTGTCACAGATTAAAATTAGACCCTTATCTTTCGCCATGCACTAAATTAAAATCCAAATGGATTAAAGATCTAAATATTAAAACAGAAACATTAAACTTGCTGGAAAGTAAGTTAGGCAGAACTCTGGAAGACATTGGTATAGGAAAAGACTTTATGAACAAATCCTCAGTAGCACGGGAACTAGCAGAAAGAATCAACAACTGGGATCTCATCTTACTAAAAAGCTTCTGTACTTCAAAAGAAACCATTAGCAGAACTAAGAGACAATCTACAATGTGGGAAAAAATTTTTACCAGCTGTACCTCAGACAAAGGACTATTATCAAGGATATATAAAGAACTCAAAACAATCAGTCCCCCCAAATATAAAGACCCGATTCAAAAATGGGCATCCGAAATGAACAGACATTTCTCATACAAAGAAGTAAAAGCAGCAAGAAAATATATGAAAAAATGTTCCACATCACTGGTCATTCGAGAGATGCAGATGAAAACAACACTGAGATTCCACCTCACCCCACAAAGAATGGCTGCTATCAAGAAATCACACAATAACAAATGTTGGTGGGGTTGTGGGGAGAAAGGAACCCTCCTCCATTGTTGGTGGAGGGCAGACTAGTGCAACCACTATGGAAATCAATATGGAGATACCTCAAAGAGCTTGGACTGGAGGTTCCATTTGACCCAGCCATCCCTCTGCTGGGTATCTTTCCAAAAGAACTAAAAGAATCATATCACAGAGAAGTATGTACACCCATGTTTGTAGCGGCACAGTTTGTAATAGCTAAATCTTGGAAACAGCCTATTTGCCCATCCGTTGGAAACTGGATAAAGAAGCTGTGGTTTTTCTATAAAATGGAATATTACTCAGCCATAAAGAGCGAGAGAATAGATTCATTCATAGGAAAATGGATACATATTGAAGATATACTCCTAAGTGAAGTAAATAAGTCACACATGTGTAAATACCAAATAGTTTCCCTGGTGTGAATATTCTGCAACAATGCATAAGATTCTAATAAGATTACTGACGTTTAGAAATTTGAAGAAAGGAGCTAAAGGTGTAGGGAAGGTGTGATGCGTAGGGGAAGAACAAAAAGGGAAAAGAAAAAAATGTGAGAGAGTGAAAAGATGAAAATAAAGTGTTTGTAGATGGGGAGGGGAGGAGGGGGTGAAGGGAGGGCAGAGGTAAGGGGAAAAAATGAGAATCAAGATTTGCCATGTAGAGGTACATTATCCCAACAATGAATGTAACTGTACTGTATCCCTAAAATGTACCAATAAACTCAATAAAATTAAAAAAAAATACAGAGTTTTAGGCAGAAAGGTCTCCACACATTAATCTTTGTGGACAAAATACAATGGTCTAGATCACATACATACATTTTTCATCTTCTATCTTTGATGTCCATGACACAGAGATATTTCTCTATTTTTTCTAACAAGACTTGGTAATTTCTGATTGCCTTTTCAATGCCTCATCCCTCCCCCTTCTTCTGTAAGCTTTGTTTACAGCCCCAGAAGACAGGGATAGTAACTCCCTATGGAGTAAAGGGCAGCCCAGCTGACTCCTTCCATTCGCAGTGAGCAGTAGTCCAACCACTGGTGGACACTGTGGGGCTGTAAGAGGAGCTGGCTCTAAGATGAAGCTGGGATGGAATTCAAAGCAAAAAAGATGAGAAGGTAAGTTTCGCTGTGGGTATCATTAAGCTATGTGATTAGCTTTGTCATAGCATCTTTGGGATTTCTTGGTATATGATCCAATAAATCCACCTTGTTGATTAAATGAGCTGAAATTATATTTTTCTGCTATTTGCAACCAAAGATATTCTTGTGGGTTCTATATGAAATTATACTTTTAATTTGAAAATATGTGTGATTTAAACACAACCCAAACTAATTCTCGAATAATGAAATAGTACTTTTCAGCTGAATGCCAAAAGCTATGGTATTATAAATTTAAAGGTCATTGAATAATCTGAATGTTTGGCAGTACCAGCATATGATAAGGACTCTTTCTACAACAGTGCTACAATAAGTAAAAGGGAAAGTTAGTAAAACTATGTCTTTCCTGGGATATGAGCCTACCATTATGGTATTTTAAAATTAAACCATGTTGACTTGCTTTCAATAGGTTCAACAGAAAATTAGAATGTCATTTCAGATCTCTGATTAGATCAAAGGATTGCTGGGCTTACTAGAGGCACTAAGCATGTGATTACAGAGGATGCAGCCTTTTAACATCCAGGGAGAGGAGAGGGGCTGGAGATTGAGTATAATCATCCAGTGGAAACTGATTTAACTAATCATGTCTACTTAATGGCACTTCTCTAAAAAGGGTAAACAGTTGGGTTTAGAGAGCCTTAGATTGGTAAACACACAGAGATGCTGGGGCAGTGCCCTGCTGTAGAGACCATCAAAGCTCAGTGACCCTCTTCCCCTACCTTGTCATATGCGTTCCTTTTATTTGGCTGTTCCTAAGTTGTATCTTTTGTGATGAGCTGAGGTACATGTTTGAGTTCTGAGTCATTTCAGCAAATTATCAGACCAGATGAGGATAGTGTGAACCCCCTGTTTATAGCCAGTAGGTTCCACGTACAAATCACAACCTGAGACTTGTGATTGGCAGTTTTGTAGTTTTGGGGGTAGTTTTGTAGGACTAAGCCCTTAATATATAGGACTTATGCTAATTAAATAATTGGCCCTCTGGTGGGTTAGTATCAGAATTCAGTTAATTGTAAGATACCCAGTTGGTATCTGCATGAAAACTACTTGATACAGAAGACCCACACATTTGGAGTCAAAGTTTTTCTTTTTTTTTTGTTGTTGTTGTTTTTTTGTACCAGGGATTGAACTCAGGACCTTGCGCTTGCAAGACAGGTAGCAGCATCACTGAGCTACATCCCACCCCGCTCCGTGTCAAAGTTTTGAAAGAACATAGGAAGTAAAACTTCTGTTGTTGTTGAGTTTTTCTTTTTATGAGATAAAAGAATGCAACTTGCCTGGAAAAGGATGAATCAAGACATGGTTAGGTTTTTAACATGAAGCAGGGAACAAGCTCAAATAGAAAGTTACATGTTATTCTTAGATCCCTAAGTACAATTTTGAAAAAAAATCAGATAGTGTTTTAATTAAGAATAAGAAGTAAACAAAAAGTGGAAATACACTGTAGTAACAGAATTAGAGAGGAATAATATATCATCAGAATTTAATAAATAGTGTCTAAACTAGGAAATAACACGAGACTCTAGGTGTGTAAGGTTGAACATCTTATGACTTGAGTCTAAAAAAGCTTATATTCTGCAGCAAGGTAGACAGAGAAGCAGTCAAAGAAATACTCTAATGACATGAGATGCAGTCAGAGTAATCAGGAAGAAGGGTGCCAGAAAAATCCAAGAAGTCATTTGTGAAATGAGTATTTGATGAGTAGATGTGGATGTTGGTGGAGGTTCATATAAATTTCTTCTAACGCTTACCTGTCCTCAGGAGTTACTTGATCAGGACAATTGCCAGCATTTCACTGTACCCATGATATTCTAGCAATGAACTACCTATGTTTATGAGGTAAATGCTTTCCTTATAAAAAGCATTTGCTGTTTTTTTAAAAGCTGTTTTTCTTAAAATAAAACACCACAAATGAAATGTTGCTTCCTCTGTCATAGCTAAAAGTAATCAAAATGAAAGATGATAACTACTAAAACTCTTGGCAAAAACACCTATGAAGAAATAAATACTGTATTCTGTCAAATATATCCAGTAAATGACTCAGAACATCACAGACTATTTAAAGGTAATAGTTAACAACTTCTGATAAAGAACATGAGAAATGTTTGTGTAAAGCCACTTAAAGAGAAAAACAAAGTATCTGTGAAAAACTATAAGAACATTTTAACTTAGACTAAACAAATGTAAGTAAAAAAAATAACAATAGTGGAAGGAACACTAAACAAAATTATAGTAAATTTTTAAAATTTTATTTTCTCTGTCATCATTGTCTATTATTATTTTTGTCCAAACTAGTTCTTAATAGAAGCCTTTACTGAAAAACAACTCACTCTAAACGTGACTCATTGGATGGAAATATAAAAGAGGAACTAGCATAGTTTCTTAATTATGAGTACTACTCTTTTGGTAAGAGTAATTATAAGAAAAAAACATTAAACAATAGGGAATGTTGTGATAGCATTTTAATAATTAAAAGTTTAAAAAGTAACCTAAATATGGACAAGGGATGAATTAAATGTGGCACAGTCATATAATAGAATATCATAAAGCAGCTCAATAAATAAATAGTTGGTGGATACTTGATTAGTGAATACTGAATCATTGTTCCTACAGGAAATACAAGGTTAGATTTTTATGAGCCTCTGGTCACATTTATGTTAATTTATCAATGTATAGCCTTTTTTATATGTGCTTCTGTTTAAAGATACTTTATTGAATATATTTGTTCAGTTACTAATAATGAACTCACCACCGACAGCACTGTGACTCACACTTAAACAAAGCCTATCAGATACATGTATCCTCAGGTGGCACATGACAGCCTTCCTGGGCACAGGGGCATTAGACAACACTTTGTTGTACCAGAAAGTCATTTAAAACAGTGAGATCGTGAACAAAAAGCACAACATGGCCATAATACACCCAGATAGATCACAAAAAGAACACTTGCTTACAGTATGAGCCTTCATACAAAAAGGCAGAGAAGTCACCTTGTTTCACCTTCGTTGTGAGTATGTGCCCTGAGAAGCAAACTTTTCACCTCTCTGTGCACGTTCACAAACAACTGCAAAGAGAATCGTAAGTATTGATTTTGGGGTTACAGATAAATTTAAATAGGCAAATTTGCAAAGATGAAATCCACAACCAATGAGGACTATAGTAGTCTGTTTCCACATATCAATTACATCTGTCTTAAAATATTGAGAGAGAAAGAGCAAGTTGGAGAACATCTACAGTATACTTTAAATGTATTTATACAATAATTTTAGAGATGTGAATATATGTTAGAAGTATTAAAACATGTAGTGGCAATATTTTTTTTTTCTTTAGGATAGGGGTAGTAGAAGAAAAACCAACTAACCAAATTAGTTCATTGAAAAGAAAACTAATGCTCAAAGGGTAACACATAATGGAAATTTTCTTTAAAACTCTGCTTTTTGAAATTTCAAGGAAAATATATCATTGCATAAAAAATCACTTGTAAAGTTTTCAAAGAGATGGTAAAACTAATTTTGCCAAGGATATTAAAATACCAATACTAAACTAGCTGTGTTGTCTGTTTTCTGATCTTCAAAAAAAAAAAAAAAAACCAACCCATAGGCAGCCTTTAATTTTTGGTAGTTTAAGCAATAAACAGTGCTGTGCTTTTATCTGCCTTGTCAAAATCTATGCTATACACTCAGTCTAAATATTTTTATGTTTGTCTTAGCATACTATAAGTGACTCCTTACATTTTCTCAAAAGATTCCACACTCCACATGCCCCAAAGGAAGTTTCCAGCTAATAAAACCTTTTCCTTTAGTTCTTCTGATATGGAGGCAAGAATCATCTATTCACTTGGACCTGGAAAGTATCCTTCATGTTTTCTTGCTACTTACCAGGCCTCAGAGCATTATTTATCCCCTTCCCTACTTCGTTTTGTAACTTTAATTTAACTTTTCTTATTTCTCATTAGTACTATACCTGAATGGGTCCCCTCCTTTTAATCTACTCTTTCTGGGGCCAGAGATCTTAGCCACTAAAATGGCTAAATGATCTTAGTCATTAAAACTGCTCAGTGGTTTCCCATTTCCTACAGTCTATAGTCCAAACCTTCTGGAATCAAGCAAAGCACTTGACAATTCCTACAGGTGTCTGCCTGCCATTTTTCTGGACATGCTACACTCTGTAAACCAAGACTTTTCATGTCTATAAATAGCACATTTTTTCCTGTACCTCCCTCCCTTTGTACGTGATGTTCTCTCTGCAATATACTCTTTTATAACATTTAACTTCCACCTTGGCCTCTTAGTACATAGATAAATTCTTTATGACTTTAACACAGACCAAACAGTAATTACCTATCTTATTAGTGTGCTTATTATAATAAAGTGACAATTTTGACTCCTCATTAACACACTCAGTTCCATCTAATAGGTGGAGCATCCTGAATCCAAAATGCCTGGAACGAGGTTTTTTTTCAGATTTTGGTATATTTCATACATAGTGAGATATGTCGGAGATAGGGCCCAAGTCTAAACATAAGATTCACTTATGTTTACACATTCCATACAAACAGAGTCTGAAAGTAATTTTATACAGTATTTTAGCGAGCCTACATTTTGACTCAACCCATCACATGAAGGGAGGTGTTGAATTTTCCATGTGAGACACTGTGTTAGTGTTTTAAGTTTCAGGTTTTGGAGCATTTTAGATTTCAGATTTTCAAACTGGAGCGAGTCAACCTGTATATGCCAAAGATTCTTAAATATGTATCTTTCTTTGGCCGTCTTTTCTGAGCTACCAATCTGTACCCTGAGCTTCAGTTAACATTTGCATTTGTAAAATGGTGAGCCTGAAGCACAGAGAAATTGCAGAGTCCAGAAAAAGATCAGGATTCAAACCATAGACTACACAGTTTCCAACCAGGAACCCGAGTCATATTCAAGTAACTGTGCTTCTGTTTACCCACCCATTCCAGGCATTCATAAGGTACGGCCTAGATTACTGCAATTGCTTTCCCACATTTACTTTTGCCCTTTCCCACCTATATCACGAATTTAAATATAGTTTTCCTTATTTACAGTTTATCAATATATTCCCATTTCATTTTAGAGAAATTCCCAAGTTCTCGCTAGTCTATAAGGCTTCTCTCTACCTCAATACTCAGCCCAGTACCTTCCTATGTGTTTTAAGCTACTTGTAATGCTTTCCCTTTATTCCTCAACTAATTTCACTCTTCTCTGGTCTCAAAAGGAAGGTAACTTCTTGGGCCGGGGATTTAGCTCAGTGGTTCAGCTGCCTGCCTCACAAGCCCAAGGTCCCAAGTTTGATCCCCAGTACCAAAAAAAAAAAAAAAAGAAAAAAAGAAAGTAACTTCCTTCCAAAGGCATTCCCTGATGCACCAAATTAAATTGGATACACTTGTTATGTGCTGCCAGAGTTGTTTTCCTCCATGTGCATTACACAATATGTATCTATATGTTTGAGTGTTAATTTATATTCCTCAATAGTCTGAAAACTATCAAGTTCCACATCTGAATACTAAGATTCTAGTTCAATGAATAGCATATGGTAGATAATTTAATATTTTGAAAAAATAAATTAATTCAACCCACACTAGAGAAGACATAAAAGAGGCATGACTTAGTATGAAAAGACTACTAAAAGGACTACTACCAGAAGGCAAAAGGTTCAGAAAATGCAAGCAAAATCATGTGCCCACCACAAGTGAGTCAATCAATCACAAAACATGCGTAAGTTAGATAATTTACATCCTCTTTAATTATGTATGTCAATTTTTAAAACCCAAGATAAACTTCAAGCCAAGAGTATGACAATTTAAATTGAACTTATTTTTTTTCTGAGTCTATGATCTAAAGAAAATTATTTCTCTCTGCTTTGCTTTTTTCCTTAAAGATATTTAACATTTCCATGAAAATGAACAGCAATGACTAAAATTTAAACTAAGCAGAAAACAGTTCATGAAAAGTACAGTATCCCCACTGCATAGTATCAATTAATCAAAGAATAAAAACAACTCTGAATAACAGAATAAAAATAATGTAAGAATAGTTTTTATTGGTTATTCTGTTTTAAAATCTTTTCAACAGACCATAGACAGATTAATCTCCTTAATATATACCTAGTCTCTGGTCACACTGCCACTTTTTTTTTTTTTTTTTTTC